GCTACACATCCAACTGCATATACGCCTCCTAACCGTCGACTCTGAGACTCAGGCTCATGTCACGGTAATATAAAAATATATTTAAATTCTGTTCCTAACCATCCACAAGAAACCCAGTAAGTCATTCGGCGTATTCAACCGCACCGACCCGTATATATAAGGAGGATTTTTATCTAATAACCCGTACCCTTATTCCAAAATAGGTAGGACTTAATAATTTGAGCTAATCCAAATCTAGTATGACATCGTCCCATACCAGTGCATACAATTCCATCCGTCTAACAGTTGATAAAGCATCGAAAATATGAATGTCAATATCAAGAATTCCAAATTAAGCATATTAAAGTATATTATCAAATATGCTTAAACAAAACCAACCAGTTGATAAAACACTGATAATACAAATATCAATACCTACAATTCCAAACTAAGCATAATAGAGTAGCTTAACAAACATGCTTAAGTAAACCAATACAAAAAACATAACTTGATCACACAGGACTATGCCTGCAAATAAAACTCTATTCCCAGTTTCCATATGATTAACAGAGCATAAAATAGATATTGTCTCACTCAATTCCATGGCATGCCAAATAAATCTAGGCAACTTATCGTACTGTTAATTTCTTGTGCAAACAGATTGATGCACTAAATTCTAAATTTTAATCATCAATTAATCCTTAACAAAATATAGATTTCTAGCAAGTATTTCTATTCCACAAATATGTAATTAGCAGTGGACAAGTCCTCACAAGAATTTCTAAAATAATTAAGAAATATATTATCCAAAACCAAACAGTTCTGCAAGGCACATAAAATTTCCATATAGTTTTAACGATTAAAACTCGGTGACTAAATTTGTATTATTCTATCCCTTGAGACTTTAATTCTACTCTGAACAACCTCTAATACCTCCATTATAGTATTTAATTTCTCTTAGAAAACTTTAACAAACCATCACCACGAAGCTTTCTCATTGAAAACTGAAGATCACGCTAACATAACAAGAAAAACTGGAAGAAGCAAAGATGGAGTAGGCTCCAAAAAAACTTGGAGCCGCCTCCAATCAAAAGGAGCCGGCTCTCTCCCTCATCTTCTCTGTGTTTTGTTTTTCCGGCGTCGTTTTCACCTCCGGTACTTCTCTGCCAAGGTTCCTGGAAACTGTAACTAAATCCCAGTAGGTTCCCACCCTTATTTAAGTCCTTATTACAATTACTAACAGGGATTTAAATAGAAAACAATGCAGAAAAGTTTCAAGTTTAAACAGTTTATCAAGAATAAGAGTTACGACTTAAACTTAAATCCTTGAAACAGATAACATATATTTTTAAACATGTTATAAATAAACCTGGAACTAATCTAGTATGCAAAGAACACGAAGCCTAAGGGAGAGAGTTAAGACAGAACTTGCCTTTAAGACTTTTGTTCAAAATCTCTACGTCGTCTTCGAAGGTTCCCGGCAATTCTTACTGAAAAATTCCTCTGTTCCTCCTCTGCCTCCACAAACGTGTATAGGTTTATTTTTCTTTTCCTAAAACCCTAAACAGAGGTAACCTATATATTTATAGAGTTGTACCAAACCTTAAATTAATTCCAAGCCCCAAGCTGAATCTTAATTGGCCCAAAGATACTTAATTAAAAACCTACGTCGGCTACAAACGTGACTTTTAAAAATAAAACCCTAATTAAATATAATTAAATCAAGACAATTTACAATTAAATTAAAATAATTAAACTAAATTAAACCACTTAAACAAAAATAAAGAATTAAACACAACAATAAAATAAAACAAGTCATAATAAATTTACTAATTACAAATAACGCGAGCAATTCAAATAATAAGACATTTAAACACGCCATGAAACTTAAACACCAAGTTAAACAAGTAACAAGTATATCAAATAAACAATTAAATAAGTTAAAATTCAATTAAAAGAATAAATTAAATACCAGGACTATCCTTTTGAAATTAGGGGTATTATATATTGTAACTTTAACAACTTGACTGTGTAACTATTGATTAGATTATATTACTTTAGTGTTGTGACATTTTGATATATTTACTTTGAGTAAATCATAGTTGTGTGTGCACCACTTTGGCCTTAGGAGCATGGTAGTCATAGTTTGATTCATAAAGTTCATTGAGCATAAGTTATGTGTGTACGGCATACACAACAAGTTTGAAGGATGGAAGCCATCCAAGCATTGAAAATAGTGGACATCGAGTCTGGTGGGTGGAAGGTTCCATAATACACTTTGCCAGTGAGATGCGGAAGTGCACCAATCTTATCATCATGTACAATGGGGTGTGTCAATACACCAATTGTTCCATGTGCGGGATGGATCTCCTGTGATTCCGGCATGGATGTGCAACCCATTGCATCATGGAGTCGCATGTTTGAGTTGCATTATAATAGAGTCTATGTGCGAGTTGTATCGTAGTTCTACGAATGGTGTACACCTTGTTATCCTATGAGTTTTGTGATAGTTATTCTTCTACACATGCTTCCCATTATTGTTTTCGCATTCTATTTCAAGTTGGCAATACTAGGTAGTTGTAATTTGTTGTTTGGCATTGTGGTTCTAATATTATTTAAGTTTTTTACTTATTATGGATAATATTTAACATGTTTCTATGATAGCTTTAGGATGATCCCTTAGCTTTCCCTTGAAATTAGACGTTAGGGAGCATGATCCACATGTTGTGTCATTTATATATACTTGTAAAGACTTTTAAAACTTTAGGTTACACGCATGAGCATCATCCTACGAGTAATTTCAAATTACTCACCTTTAGTTGATTATGGGTTTTTCAGGTAAGGAGGTACTCTTCTAGGATGCACAACGTCCTTAACTCAGATTGAGTTTTATCTTGGGATATCTTTGGTTGTTTAGAGTATGCAAATGTTAGCATGTTTAATTCTCCTTTGAAGTTGTAATGTAGAACTTATTTGGAAGCATGTTTGCTCTCTTTTGATTTTGTAAAATGAATTCAAGTACTCCATTTTAATGTATTTTAAAGTGTATGTAATGAGGCCAAAGGCCAATCACTTGAATGTATGCAAACTTGGGCTTTTATTTCAAATGTTCATTTTGATGTCATAGCTACTATTCATTGATTTTTTTTCGAGAACCAAACCGACCATTCCGAGACTTCCGGGGGTCTCTAAGGTGTATTTGAGCACCGCATATCCAATTTAGAACCTTAAGAAAACTTCCTGAGGGCTTACTTCCATTCTTATGGCCGCAACTTAGCTTTTGGGCGACCGGGCGCCCATTTTTGCGACCGGGCACAGGTTCAGTTCAAGTTTGGCAGCTTTGCAACCCGATTTTGTAACAGCCAACTTGCTCATTTTAAGTCTAAATTAGGTGATTCTTGAGTCTAAATTCAATAATTTTGAGTCATATTTCCAATGGTGCCAACCTATTTTCAGATTCATTTTCTACTGAGAGATATAACCATTTAAGTGGAACAGTGACGGGATTTGGTTCGAACCGGGTTACGGTTTCCGTGGGATTTCACTTCCAATGACCTTAGAACTTCATATGAGGCTACCAAATGATCTCATTGAGTTATTTTGATTTCATTTGACTTGTTGAGAGTCAAATTTCCTTCTCTTAGCATTTTACCCTTGTCTTTGCTTTCGGTTCGTTTTATTCTTAGCTTCCACTTTCATTTCCGTTTTGAATCTTGTGACTTCTTAGAAGTTAACTTTGATGTCTTAGAGATGGTATTCATCTCTAGAGACCTCTTCTCTTTTCTTGCTTCCGCATTTGGGATCCGCTATCGGGTAACTTGTTGACGCTTTGGATTATGAGAATATGGAGCTTCCAAAATCGAGACTCGAAATAAACATAAAATTACAATTTGCTTAACATGTTTTGACACTAAAACTTTTCAACAGAAAAACTAAGGTTTTCATAAACACCTCCTTTGTGAATTTCGTGACAAATCCACCTAGACATGCAATTGTAACCTAATCCATAGCAAGAAAATTTTAATTTTCAAATTATCAAAAGTAAAACAAATAGCTGAATTTTACAGAATTCTCGATCGTGGAGAAATTATAAACATGTTTGTTACTCAATAATTGACCCCGCGGGCGGGCGGGCGCGCGGGCGGGCGGGCCGCGGGGGGAAGTAAAATAGGGTCTTTGACAAACAATAGAATTTAAATGATTCAAATAAAATCAAAGTGAAAGCAATTATACAATTTTATGCTTAGATAGAAATTTAAATAATGAGCATAAAATAAATAGATAGGGATAGATCTTCCCTGGACACCGAATCCCAAATGCATCATTTAGTCTATTGGTACAAACTTTGATCCAGAATAACTATCATCCGTTGGAGAGCTAGACTCAAGATGAGATTATATGATGAAGACCTGAATAGGTGGTAGAGTTAACAACTCATTGTTTGTTGAGCCAAATTGAACCATTCATAATAGATTGCTTTTTAAGGCTTTTGGTATAGTTGTTCCATCTTTGTCACGCTATAACTTTATTCTTTAACCAAACTTAATTAGGCTATAACTGTTTTTTTTTTTTTTGGTAATCATTTGCTTGAGTATACGTGTAGTGAAATGATAAAAAATAATAATATTGAAAAACAATATAAATTAAAAATAATAATAATAATATAAGTTTATGATACAAAAGATAAATTTGGAACCTACTAAATTTATCCTAGTTCCATAGTGGTGACTGGTGAGAATTGAACGAAAAAACCTATAGACCATAAGTACCTTTTTGTTACCAGAATTTCATTTTCTGTGCCACTTATTCTAGTGGCGTGCCCTTTTTTAGTAGTAACTTCTATTTCTTCATCCACTTGCTTGCCTAAAATTCAGCCATTTTTGTCTTCCAAATGAGCTATATATATATATAACTTCATAGCTACACTAATATTCAAACAACCCTTCTGTTTAAAACTCAAACTAAAAGTTACCCACACTCAAAAACCCATTTTCATACATTTCTATTCAATTTTTCTTGGAGGTCACAACCATGTCTTTTGCACATATAATATTTTTCACTTTTATATTCTTGAGCTCAACCGCGGCTTTTGCACAGAAACCACCACCTAATTTTGCCTGTGACATCGATGCCAATCCCGCGCTGGCTCAATTCGCATTCTGTGACAAGAAGAAGCCGATTGGCGAGAGAGTGGCAGACTTGGTGAAGAGGATGACATTGCAGGAGAAAATTGCGAACCTGGTGAACAAAGCAGGGGAAGTGAGTAGGCTTGGAGTTCCGGCCTACGAGTGGTGGTCCGAGGCCTTACATGGAGTCTCTAACGTTGGTCCCGGGACACGATTCGCTCCTCCTGTTCCTGGAGCTACTAGTTTCCCTATGCCCATCACCACTGGCGCTACTTTCAACGTTTCGCTGTTTGAAATCATTGGAAGAGTAAATGAAGCTTCACTCTGAACTCATTATAATATTTTTTCTCTTTTGACATGATCATAGCGAGGTGATTATAATATGCAGGTGGTTTCCACTGAAGCCAGAGCAATGCACAATGTTGGTTTAGCTGGATTGACCTACTGGTCCCCAAACATCAACATATTCAGGGACCCCAGATGGGGAAGAGGCCAGGAAACTCCGGGGGAGGATCCATTGCTGACAAGCAAATTCGCGGCAGCTTATGTTACCGGTCTACAACGCCCTGATCAGTTAGGTAATCCGGAGAGGCTTAAGATCGCGGCTTGCTGTAAACATTATACAGCATATGATGTAGATAATTGGAAAGAGTTTGATCGATACCATTTCAATGCTGTGGTATGTTTTCTATACTAAGGGTATACTTGGTGTCACTACGAAAATAGTTTTCTATTTTAACTGTTTTCAGATAGCTGAAAATTAAAAAATTATACAAAAACTCTACTTGATTCAATTTTCTTATAACTGTTTTCTGAAAACTCTACTATAAATGCTTATTTTCATAAAACGGTCTTTTATAGTTCTCTAAAAACAGTTTTATGTTATTTTCTATTTTTCGAATTCTGAGAATTGTTTTCAAAATTACAAATCAAGCAGGCCTTTCTGCTTTGTAATTGTGACTTTTCGAATAATGTGATCAACAAGATGTTTGCTCATTGATTTCCATTGTTGGGATGAGTTAGGTATCAAAGCAAGATTTGGAAGAGACGTTTCAACCCCCATTCAGGAGCTGTGTTCTTGATGGACATGTTGCCAGTGTCATGTGTTCCTACAACCAAGTTAATGGCATACCAACCTGTGCTGACCCAAACCTCCTGGCAGGAACAATCCGAGGCCAGTGGAAATTAAATGGGTAATCAATCATGCTCCATAAACAAATACTTTTAGAATAATGATTCTCAAACCTAATAGTCTAGCCGAGAATGTCTAATCCATCCAAGGGATAGACATCGCTCAGATTCTCAGCTAGACTATTAGGTCTAAATAGCATTGTCCATAGTCTTGTCAACCTAATAGTCTAGCCAAGAATGTCCAATCCATCCAAGGGATAGAAATCTATCGGTTAGGACCCTCAGGTAGACTATTAGGTCTGAATAGCATTGCCCAATGTTTTATATACATGAATTTTGGATGCTTCAGATACATATCTTCAGATTGTGATTCACTGGATGTGTTTTTCAAAAGCCAAAACTACACTAAAACACCAGAGGAGGCTGCAGCCATGGCCCTAAACGCAGGTGACAACATTTTGACATTGAAAATGTGGCAATTTAAACATTTAATTTTGTCATTGGCTATCAAGAATAGGATAGTTGGGTACAGTAAATGTTTATTTACTGTTTTAATCCAACAGGGTTGGATCTAAATTGTGGAGACTTCCTAGGCAAACACACTGAAGGTGCAGTGAAATCTGGATTACTAAAGGAGGCAGTGGTTGATAGGTCTGTCTCAAACAATTTTGCAACATTGATGCGGCTTGGGTTCTTCGATGGCAACCCCACGAAGGGTGAATATGGGAAGCTAGGCCCCCAGGACGTGTGCACCCCAGCGAACCAGGAGCTGGCTCGTGAAACGGCTAGGCAAGGAATTGTGTTGCTCAAGAACACTCCCGGATCACTTCCTCTAAATCCTACTGCTATCAAGTCCTTGGCAGTAATTGGGCCCAATGCCAATGCCACACTAGCCATGATCGGCAACTATGCAGGTATACTAACACTAATGCAATACCGTAGCAATCTTGAACCCGAATCCTCTCCTATATTATTTCAAAATGTGGCATGTCTTATGCATTTACTTCGTTTATACAACAAATTCACTTTGCATTGATTATGCAACAACTACGTTATATCGTTAGTTCATAGTGTTACATTTAGTCACGAGACTATTGCACCACTAGCGATATAGACAGGCACGGAACTACATGGTGCTCAGTGGGGGCGGCTACCTATAAATTTTATGAAATTTTAAAAATGCCCGCATTAAAACTATTAAAAAACTTCAATGCCATCCCTCTCAACAAAATTTCTGGATCCGTCACTAGATACAGGAGGGGTGCACAGGATGAGGGGATCCAGATTCTAGCAATCCTGCACCCAAGACAGCATTTCTGTGTTCTTTATGTTCCAAGCATGTCTATTGTGTATTGGAATTTCAAAATCACCAAATATGAGCATCCTGAATCATGTTTAGTTAACACATTGCAGGCATTCCTTGCTCTTATACGAGTCCTCTGCAAGGTCTCTCAGCTTCGGTTAAAACCACCTACGTTCCTGGCTGTGACATAGCATGTGCAGGCAGACCACAACTCGTGGAAGCTAAGAAAGCAGCAGCTGAAGCAGACGCTACTGTTCTGGTAGTGGGAGCCGATCTATCCATTGAAGCAGAGGCCAGAGACAGGGAAAGTATTAATCTTCCGGGAAGGCAACCTCAATTGGTTTTCGAAACTGCAAATGCAGCCAAGGGACCTGTCATTCTTGTTGTGATGTCTGGAGGGAGCATGGATATTCAATTTTGTAAAGATAATAAAAAAGTAACAAGCATCCTCTGGGTTGGTTACCCTGGTCAACATGGTGGTGCAGCCATTGCAGATGTGATCTTCGGCCGGTACAATCCAAGTATGTCTCTACTTTACTCTTCTTCATTGTTGCAAAGGACTTATCCCAACTTCCATTTGCTTTTCAACTCATTTGATTCTTCCCATAACTCAATGGGAAACCTAGTTGGCCTTTAAATCATTTCCTTTTGATAAATAGATCAAACTAGTTGGCCTGAATATCATGATTCTGACACAATTAAATCATAATTATCAACTGTTAAAAATAAAGGAAGAATAATATGATATTGTATTGATATCACGTGATTACAGCAAGCAGAAACAAAATACCAACATGTATTCTTACCTATTGTGGTAGAAAAAGAAGAAGAAGATGCACCTTGTATTCTAGTCAAAACCTGATTATTTGTAACATCAACATTGCCTTGCACTGCAGGTGGAAGGCTACCCACGACATGGTATCCACACACATACGCAGAGCAGTACCCCATGACAAACATGAACATGAGAGCAGACAAGGCCTCGGGATTCCCTGGCCGGACCTACAAGTTCTACACCGGTCCAACCATCTACTCGTTTGGGGACGGTCTAAGCTACTCTCCTTTCGTCTACCACGTATATTCAGCATCAAAGGTAATCGAACTGCACTCAGGCCAAAAGGGCAATGTTAAGTGCATTGAAGCTGTTGGAAAGGTCTGTGAGAAGTCGATTATCGACGTCCATTTGGGGGTGAAGAACATGGGGCAAATGGCCGGAAGCCATACGGTTTTGCTGTTTTCGACACCCCCTCCAATGCACAATCCGCCACAGAAGATGTTGGTGGCCTTTGAGAAGGTGTTTTTGAAGCCACAAGAAGAGGCTATAGTGAGGTTGTTTCCAACTATGTGCAAGGAAATGAGTGTGGTTGATGAGCAAGGCAACAGAAAAATAAACTTGGGACAATATCAACTTCAAGTGGGAACAGAAAAAATTACCTTGGAAGTGAGGCCCTGAAATGGGATTCTCAAGTGCCATGGCTATTCTTTTTCTTCTTCTATTTCTTGGAAGAAATTGAAAAAAAATATATAAAGAAATCCCAAGTAAAATCGGATTTTTTCTTTTTCATTTTTCATTTTTTTTTGGGAAGGCTAGAGGCATATAAAGTGGAAATTGAGCCACAAATAATTGAGAGAGAGTTGTTAACAATTTTTGTGAACCTCTTCAAACATTTTCTTGTAGATAATCAAATTTTGAAATGGGAATGAAAGTTATTTCCTTTTATTTTCAACTTCTGTGTTTTTTATGTTATTTCTTATGACATTCTCAATCTTATATGGAACACCACTGCAACTAGTTCTATGCATAATATAACTAGTGAAGTACCACTTGTTGAAAATAACTTCCATTGATATTTGCTCAAATTGACAGAACTCTTTAAAATTATATATATATTCATTTTGTTTCCATCATGTTTTATTGGAATTTTATGAATTTTTTGTAGCTTTTTTTTTTTTTTTTTTTTTTTTTTTTTTTTTTTTTTAACTGCAAATTTGGAGTCTGAACTTTCAGAGAGTTGATTTAGTGCAAGTGAGAACAATTTTTTTTAAAGGAGTTTTGACTGTTACATCGCTGGTGTTAGCTAAAATTTTGGGCATCAATATATTTTTCATCCCAAGAATGTTAGTGGGAAAAAAGGGGCGAAAGCTTGAAACCGTGCTATAAGGACAACGGGAAGGAATCTTACAGATCAGAAAAGTCTGTTTGGTTTCTAGATGCATACTTTGTCAGAAGAGTTTGGACACTACAGATCACGTGTTTGTTACTTGCCCTTTCTCTCAAGGTTTCTGGAAATGGTTAGGTGGGATTCTCGGTTGGGATCTCATTAAATTTCAAGATGTGTTAACAGCTTGGGACCTTTTCAATTGGATGGATAATTTATATAACAAGTCAAAACAATAGCAAAGTCTTTTTGCTACAGGTCTGTGGTACATTTGGAGGGAAAGGAATAATAGACTTTATGGTTTCAATAGCCTTGGCTTGGAGGTGGTGGCAAGGACTGCCTTCCTAGAAGTGTGTGATGTTCAGAGAATTAATTTTATTGATGTTATTGTGTAATGTCTGTTTTGGTATAGTGCTTTTGTACTGGAAATGGACTTATTCATTAAAGCACATACTCCTTCTTTTTCTTATTTTTTCTGCTGTCTGAGTATATGCCCTCTGTGCTCCTATATTCCGGTTTTTTTTTTTGAGCTCAATACAACTCCAATTATGAAAAAAAAAAAAAAAAAAAAAAACAGTGGAATCTTACCTCTTGAGTTAAGAATGCAGCATCAATTGAGCAACATGTAATGTGCCTGATTTGAATTCATTTTCTACTAGGCCCATTTTTGGAGTTTCAAGGATTCTAAATTAGGCCGGCCCAATTAGATTGCTGATTGCACTTTCTTTGTCGAAGGGTGACTAATTGTTGTGTGGGTTGCAAGCCCAATTTTGAGCCAAGAGTCTGTTGGGCCTCTCTGTGGGTTGCAAATAAAAAGCGAGTAGAGTTAGGCTTTGGGTTGTTCAGGCCAGGCTTGTCAAAGTCGGAAGAGTGGTCCGGCTCATGCTTGTAAATATATATATATATATATAGCAAATCAGATGAGAAGTTCAGTAGGGTACGCATTCCAGTCACTATAAAAAAATAAGTTCGAGCCCACAGTGGACAAACCTCCATGTGGCACTCTTTACTTTTCTTTTGTATTTTGGCAAATCTCTTTTTATTCATTACAACTTCATATTTTGTGGTTTTATTTTATTTTTTATTTTTTTTGAAATTTTTTTTAGTTTATTTTACTTTGTCTTAGGTTTTTTTTTGGCACAAAAGTAAGCTATTGAGTAGACAAATATATTTTTCTTGTCTTTTTTCCCAAGGTTAAAATATGTCCTCAACGGCACAAAATGCCTAAACAAACGTGACATATTCATGCCTCTTCTTCTCGTGGTCAGCTCCTAAACCCAAGCTTTTCATGCTCTTTTTAGTTAAAGATATTTTTTGTGCTTGTCCTTAAAAAAATAAATAAATAATAAATAAATAAACAACGAATTGACACTATGATTTCCAATGTTCCTGAACAAATATGTACAACATAAAAAGATATTTTCAAAATTGTTAGACAATTTTAAGTATTATAGTTTGTAGTAATATAGGCCTTGATTGGTTTGTAATTTTGAAAATAATTTTAAAAAAATTAAAAAATAGGAAAATAGTTTTCAGAGAGTATAAAAGATTGTTATCTAAAAGCACCCTTTTTTATAATTGAGTTTTCAAAAAATTGAACCAATCAGAATTTTTTGTACAATTTTTTATTTTTTATTTTTCAAAAACAAAAAAATATTTCCATATTTACAAACCAAGTAAACCCATATAATCTCCACGTATAATGGCATGTTCTCCATTTTACCATCCCCAATTTTATATTCCGGTCAATTTCACCACCCCATCAAATGTGAAATTGACGAGGAAGAAAACACACTTTTTAAAATGTGAAAAGAGAGTGGAACTTTTGTTGTACACACTACCAAGAAGAGGAAGAAGCAAAACGTTACTTTTCTTTTTCTTTTCTTTTCTTTTCTTTTCCTTCTTCTTTCTTCTTTGGTGAGTCCAATGACATTGCCAATTTTTGCAATTGGACATTTCATTTCTATGCTTAGCAAGGCACATGGAAATAATCGCCTTAATCATTTACCCTTTTTAATAATAAAATCCACACTTTGCACTAAGCTTACTTAGTATTGGACACCACTATTCTAATTTTGCTCAATTTTATGTTTTATGTCACTTTGATCCCATCACCTGGCCCTAAATTATCATTAAAAAGCGGATTAATCGGCGTATTATGAGTTAAGTAAGAAAACACCTTGACTTTCTTTCTTTTTTTATTTGTTTAATTTTTGTAACATATATAGTAATTGTATGAAGTGAACATAGACATCAGCACATAGGTTTTCAAAACAATGTTATTGTATAATTTTCTGATTAATCAAAGGTGTTAGTTGTGGGATAGACATTGACAGGCACAAACCCTACCTTGGTGGGGTTTTTCTATTAATTAACATTAAATTGATTAATTTACAAGTTTTTGTCACAAATGTAGTGATAGAAAATGAACTTGTCTTGGGTAACAAACTGTCCCTTTTGAATATTCTGCAACTTGGTAACGACCAATGGGACTTATGTAACCTAAGAAAACCAATTATTATGACCTATTTACCCCTCTAAAACCTTGATTTTGTCTCTATTAATTAGACATGTACTAGCACTCATTCCGTAAGAAAGAAAAAAATTAGATGGAAAGTAAAAAAGAATGGATGAATGAGACATTCCTACATAAAAGATTATGTTATTTTTTCTTTTTGTTCGGTTGGGTGAAAGGGAAGAGAAGAAACAGACAATTTACTTTGATTGGTAGGATAAAAGGAAAGAGAGATTACCATTAAACTCATCACTTACTTTATTGGTAAGATTTATTAAATATTCATAAAGAAGGATACAGTAATTTTAAACTTCTAAAATATGTCCATGTGTTTTCTCTTTTTTTCCGTCCATATTTGAATGGATGATTGTAAAGGAGAAATGATGACTCATCATTTCTTCCCTTATACCATACTACATAATTTTTAGTGATAAACAATTTCTTTTGTCCAATCAATTAAAATAATAATAATAATAATAATAACAAAAATATAGAGTATAATAGAAGGGGTTTAGTCAATTTAAACTATATGAAATACAAAAAAAATATAAAGTATAATAGAAGGGTAATTTAGTCCATTTAAACTATATGAAATACGGAGTATTGCCCTTCTAGACGGAGAAATTAATTAGGGATTATTTGGCAAGGGCAAAGATTCCAAATAATACGTGCCATACTTCTCACAACAAGTCAACCGCTTGTCACAGCAATTGCTGCTACTATTCAATGTGCAATCTCAAAGTACACCAAATGCAGCGTCTCGATGGTATAAGGGACTTTCCTCAAACCCCAGCCAATCAAACTCTTTCGCGCTCAAATCTCCGTGGGCTGCACCGCGTCGGATCACCACCGCATTGAAGACAACATTAGCGAAAGATTCCATATAATAAAAGTCATAGTAGGCTCCGCCCCAAGTTGTCGTGTCGTCACTCGTCACACATTACCCTTTAGAGTCTCCCAAAAGACATATCACTTTTTGACACGTTTCATTGACATAGATTTTTGCGCCATCTTTATAGTATTTTTCCTTTTTCTTTTTCCAAATTTTATTTTCTTTTTTCCAATTCGATAAACTCTTTTAAACGCACTCGAAACGCGGCATCAACGCGGATCTACGAAGCACGTGATAGGCGCGTGTATTTATATGTATATATATATATATATCTTGGAAGACAAAATTATTTATATAATATATAAATAAAATACTAATCTTATATACCTAATAATTGTCATGACATGTGATTTAAATAAGCACATTTTGTATATAAAAAAAGAAAATTAATAAAATTGACCACATTTGAATGTCAATGTGACCATATCAGCCGATACGTTACGTAATGTATTGGTTGATTTGTATTTTTTATTCAGGTTTTATATTATTACACACTTTTATGAACTTAAATCACTTAATTTATACTGATATTCACCCGTGTCTGTTACATTACGATCGTGATCAATACTAAAATCGATACTGCAACTGCGAACAATGATTGGATATTATAATAACGTTGCTGAAAATAAAATTAAAAGAACTAATAATATTTGTCTCTTTATTAGTGATGTGCCACTATATACAACAACGTTACTTTCATTTATAATTTATATAAATTTTCATTTCTTCGTCTTATATTTTAAATTAAAATAAAAAATGTGTCATTTTATTATTATGCCACATGGCCTACATTGATGGAAAAGTTATTACATGATCCCGAGACTATTATTCTCAGGCCAATTACAAAGTAACACATAAATAAATGTGTCAATTTTATATCATTGTCAATTAATTTTTTTATTTATGCATGGTTTTGTGAGTGACAAAACCATTTATTGGAGAACCATGTAATAATTTTTTACACCAATGAATGAGGGTACAAGTGAGGAAACAAACATTGTTTCTCAAAAAGTACAAATTACATTATCACGCAATCAACATTAAAGTAACTTTATTGTAAAAATAAAATAACTAAAAAAATTAATTTAAAATAGCAAAAAATAAAAATATAGAATGCAAGTAAAATTTACTAGTTTAATTTACTCAAAAAAATAGTCAAAACAAAAGATAGTATAAAAGTTTAATTGATTTATGTAAATAATTTTAATATAAAATTTTAATTATATAATTCTCGTACATTATCACCACAGAAAGAAAAAGTAGTAACCGATGGATCTTATGATTTAATTACTCCAGAGTCCACACATTGATATATATATATATATATCCACACACACACACATGTAACTGTATTTAATGTACTTTGCGATTCCTGGTATCTCAATTATTGACGGAAATGGCGAATTGGGTGAGGCCACATGTCAATCATGAGATTCCGACCAATTGGGATTTAAGATGGATGCTGCGAATAGGGAGTGAAGCAGCTTCCTGTGAGACAGCTGGGATGGACTTTTCTCTGTTGCAGATTTAGCCGAGCCCTTTCACTCAGCCGGAGCTCTGTTTTTGAACTGCAAGCCAAGTATATGGATATTTTCAATTCTTTGGTTTTGGCAAATCATTTTAAGGACCATTTATTGTAGAAAATTGGAGTTTACCCTTGGGGAGGTGGGACCAAATGGCAAAAGGTTGGAAGAAAGGAAAAGCCAAGTATAGGGACTCAATCTGATTCATCCGGCACTTCCAATAGTTAGGGTTCTCTTCTGGTTATACAGAGCTGAAAACGTCGACATACAGTTTCGGATGATTCTTTTGCGGTTCAGCTTAAGTGGGATAAACGACTTAAGGGAGTGGCGGGTAGTGCGGTGAGTCAGATGACTTCTTTGAGTCCATTAAATAATCTGGCTGGTATCAATTCCGTTTCATCTAGGGGATGGGGGCGCAAGTGACCGACTCTTTTACTCATGACTCCTCCCAGTCTTTTGCAACAAAAATTGCTATGTTGGTTGGTGCTGGACAATTTCCTCCTATAGAAATTGTTTAAGTTTGGATTCTCGTAGCAATAGTCATGTCTTAGCTTATTGTTAGGTTTCTTTGGAGTTATTTGGTTTTGATATGTATGTGATTCTTGTACGTTGTTGATTGGCTTATGGTTGTTTGTTGTTGATCTTGTAATGGCGGGTTGAATATTTGTTTGTCAGGACAAAAAAAAAAATGCATGGTTATTGGATTTATACATAAATAGATGTTGCAACTATTTCTCTTTTATTTTTGTTATTTTGAAGTTTTACTAAATTAGCTTGTGATCATCAATTGTGATGATAATATATTTTTTGATATTAGTTTGAAGTTCCGAATTGAGAGATTATGTGTCTAACCATGCCAATGATTATAGTACTATGGTACTCTCAATAAACATGGTAATGAGAGTACCATAATACTATAATAACCATCAATAAAGATACATTAATCAAAATAGAGATTTTAGTAAAAATGATGTCCGACAAATATTTTAAAAGTATCTCAAATTAAGTTAAGAGAGTGCAGCTATAACAATACATAGATATTATACAAAGACAACTTTTAGATACAATGAGCAAAATTGTGAAATCAACATATTCAATCACTTCACTAAATGACCAGTCATTGCCTGTTACCCCAAATTTTGCTGCCTCTTTTTACTCCTCCTCAAGCTAAGAGAAGTGCTTTGATAAATAAAAAATAATAATAAAAAAAGACAATAAAAATGTCAAAACAGCCGCCCTAAAGTGCGATCTAACGAGTTCTCACTAAAGAAGGATCAGTTAGATCAAAAGATATCCATACAGGAAAAATATCAAACTCACTTAAATACAAATATTTCAAAGTCTCAGGTAAAGGCTTTAAATTCAACCTTATGGGGCTTATTCGCCTTTTTAGATTTAATGGCACTTGACATCGCACTTTCTATTCACATTTGGTTAGTTAATGCTAATGAAATCGAGTTTTGAATACTTTTTGGACCTTCGCCCATGATTTGGGAGTGATAAGGTTAAATTATAGATAACTTGAGTTGAGTTTAAAGACCTCCATCAACATGAAGTGAAATGAGTTGTGCATAACTCGGATTTGAATTCTAGGACCTCTGCCCATGATTTGGGAGTGATAAGGTTAAATTATAGATAACTTGAGTTGAGTTTAAAGACCTCCGTTAACATGAAGTGAAATGAGTTGTGCATAACTCGGATTTGAATTCTAAGACCTCTGCCCATGATTTTGGGAACTTCCAAATGCGTTAAGTTGCTCGTACAAATCTTTTATAGAATAAGCAAATATGAAAATATTTATCCCATAGCATCTCTAATTAAAATGGTTTTTTTTTTCTTAGTAAAATCCAATTAAAATAGGTTACCTTCCGTACTATGTCAAAATATCCCTTATAAAAAAATAAAAAAAATAAATAAATTGCCAAAAGTAGTTATTAGTTATAACTCTTTAATAAGCTTTAGCTTAAATGAGCTCCTTGATTCAATCCAAGTTTAGATCTGAATTCTTTATTATTCCTCACCTATTCTATGTTGACTCTTAAGGGTCCAATATACTATATCATATATGTAATATCTATCACCTATGCATAAACGATACAACCTTCATACAATATATTTATATAGAGATATATAATACTTATTTAACAGGTTACGTTATATTATAACATTATAACCTATATTATTAGTGTAACGATTTAAAAATATGTTGTACAGATGGACAGAATAACGGACAAAGAAAACGAGAACCGCGAGAGGTTTTCAAATCCATCCAAGTGTTTTTGCTTGTTTGACTTTTCATAAAATAAAAAAAAATAAAAAAAAATAGTGTGAAAAAAAAATGAAGGCATAGTATCAATCGCTTGCCGAAGAAAGCCGATAGAGAATTGACACGGCGCGTCGGGAGCGAAGCCGACAAAAGTGGCGGTGTTATGCTCTTGCCAGCTCAACTACACTCCCACAAGATATTTTTTAGTCAGTGAGTTAAGTTAATGATTTGAGCACGCCACGACAAATCTACCTCCGCCACTAATTTCTATGCCCCAGTTTCGTCATCAAGAAAGTGACTTCGCCTTTATATGTATGTCAAAACACATAATTGCCCTTAATTTTTAAATAATTATATATATAATATTATATATAATCAATGGCAAGAAAAACTCACTTCCATTTTATTCCATGCGAAAATTTTAAACTCTCACTTTCCAATTTGAAAAGTAAAAGAAAGAATTCAAGATACAAAATTTATATTCCATTTGGTTAGCTAGAACTAGAAGTAAGGGATTGTTTAGAATTCTAAGAATAATTTTAGTAAATACCATTTTTTTTATGCTCTCGTAACTAATAAATAATATTTTTCTCCAACACACTTTAGAATTTTTTTCATGCTAATCAAAGACATCTTGAAAACTTAATTTTTTTTTTTTTATTCACTTCACTTTTTCATTTTTCAGTATTAATTTCCATCTAATTAAATGAGGAGTCTCTTTGTGTTAAAAATATTAACAGATAAATTATACATGTGCTTCAGATAATTATATATATATGTACGTGTTTTGTTTAATAAAGATAATATTCTCCAATGCAAAGGTATACTGTATTACATGCTCGTAATTATCTTCTTTTGTATACTTTGTATTTTATTTTATTTTATATGAATAATAATGGGTGCTAGATTTCTTAAAGCAGTATCTAAATTGACATATATATGAACTCTTCTCGTTCTATTTATAATAGACATGTATAAGAAATATTCTTAAGAATTCAAATTCAAGTCATACACAATGAAAGGGCGAAAATAACAAAATTTAAATTACTCATAATAAAAGTATAAACTAAACATATAATGACATAAATTTAAAAGAATTGTGTGACCTAATGAGAGGAGGGCTTTGTAAATAGACTTCACTAGTAGGGTTAAGAATAGTACAATATTTGTTGTCTTTTTTTTTTTTTTTTAATCTTTATTTAGTTACTATTTTTATTTTTATTTATCACAATCTTCTTTGTTGTCTCTCTCGACCAAAAAGTGTGCAATGGTCCAGATAAGGAGTGTCGGTCCAAAACTGTCTTGTCCACTAACAGTGACAGAAATTACAAAAATGGTATTTTGGTAATTCAACCGCCATGGGTTGCCCCAGCTATCAATAACCAATGGCTGACCCGATAAATCTCCTATATTTTATAAATAACTGCACATATACTTATAAGGTTCTCTTCTGTACCCCTTGCACTTCAAGTTGCAATTTCAACTCGCTCTTCTTTCGCTTCTCCCACTTTCTCTCTCTAAAACACACACACGCACAAACACACACACTCTCTCTCTCTATAAATTTGTGCTTGCTGGATTAGGATGTCTCTTGTGGCTTCACAGATCTCCTCACTTTGCTGAAATTTCCTTTTGAAGTCCCATCACGGTACTTTTTTGCTTTTTAGTTAATTTTTTTAATGTAATCTTTGCGCTTTTTTTAATTTCTATATTGATTTTCAGTTGTGGAGGAGTGTTTGTGTTGTTCATCGATTGTTTTATGTGTTTACTCGTGTTCTTCTTCATATTATTTACTAAAATTGGCTGATTCTAGGGTTTTGAGTTGTTTTAGATGCTGATTTGTTAACAACTGTTCGATGGGTTTATGAGCTTCTAATGCTTGATTATTGGGAATAAAATCATGAATGAATAACTATGGAGCTGACTTTTTTTTTTTTTTTTTTTTTTTTTTTGTTGCTTATTGGATGTTCTGATCTTGAAAGAATAATTAATTGATAGATTGATACTTCTAATTATTGGCCTTTTTTTTTTTTTTTTTTTTATTTATGTAAAACACAGGTTCATTGGTAAATTGATATTTTATTTTTTATTTTTCAAATGATTGAGGATTTTTGGTCTTTTTCTTGCTGCTACTAATAAGGGTTATTTTACTATCAATAGAATTTTTGGTATTTCAGATCTGATTGAGTTCGAGGTTTGGAATTTAGACTCTCTTCCGATGTGTTTTGCATATTATTTATGTCTTTGGGTTTCTCTTGTATTATATATGATTTATTTGGCTGAATTTCAGTTTCTGAAATTGGTTTTATATGAAAATAAGAGTTCTTTTTTTCTGTTCAAAGCTGTCAGGTTAAGAATAGCTTGCCTGATTTATTTATTTATTTACCCGAATAGCTTGCTGTGAAGGATATTTTTTATTTTTATATTTAATGTATATAATTTTATGGAGGGTATAATTTTCTCTAATCTCAAATCAAAACACTATGTATGGATGATGTGAATTGCCTAAACAGCAATTCATGAAAAGTGAACAACCAGTTGATCTCTGAAGATTATGAAATAGAATAGATGAGAGTAGTAGATAAGGGCTTTGGAAAATATTAATTTACTTGTAGTTGGCTTTATATAGGACATGCATACACAATGTAGACAATGATATAATATTGTTGGACTGCCAAGGATAAATTAGAAGCAATCAAGGTTTCTGGCAATGTAAAGTATGAAGTTTTAAGAAGGCTGTAATATATAATGTGTAGTGAGTAAAAATTTATTTTTGTCTTCTTCTTATCTCATCTTTTCCTGTTTCCATCTTGTTCGGTGTTGGTGGCAGAGAAGTACTCACTTTTTACTGTTTCTAGTACAGTACTTTTTATTTAATGTTCTCTTAATGATACATAGTGTAAGACTGTAAGTTCTCTTCAACTAAAATCTATTGCTCATCTTAGATTGTATTTCTTAAACTTTCTTGTTCATGTCTTCTGTTGAAGTTTTATATTTAATATCAAATATGGTATGCAATATAAATTCATAAAAGTGTTCCTCTTCACCCCAGTAAATCTCTCACTCAAAAAGAAAAAAAAAAACAGAAGTGTTCTGTCCATCAGACTTAGATGCTGGAAATAACATGTAAAACTTAAATTTTGCTGTTAATGCGATTGTCAGAAAACTTTTTGAACACCTTAACACTAAAATGAGATTCTTCAATATCCAAAAGTATGTGCACGGGTAGTGCCTTAAGGGGAAATAATGTTCCATCTGCTTTATCATTATACTTGGGATAGTTGGAGAAATTTGCATTGAATCGTGTGGTTTACAGATTAAATTATCAATGTTTTTTTGGGTAAACTTTGTATTGAAATCTATTGGTTTGTTTGTCTTCTGCAGCTCATCTTAATATTGTATAAATCACGTATAGCCAATTCTGGACTGTCTTCTGATGAAATAACATGTTTGCTCCCTCAATATTATCCTTTATTATTAATGTTGTTATTTATATATTTTGCTTTATTTGAAGCTTGAATTCTAGGTTAGGTTGGAAAAAGACTATTAGTATATTGGTTCTAGGTCATTGTTACACATATTTATGTAGTTTACCTTGTTAATAACAGAACTCATAAGGTAGCTTTTCCCATTCATATGCGATTAAGGCAAGGATGATGATGATGATGATGATGATAATGATGACAACGATGGTAAGGTAGCTATTGCTGAATGGGAAAAACTGGAAAGTGATTGAGTTGGCCTTGCAATTATCTTTTTGATGCATAATGCTTCTTCTTTATACTCTTTAGCTTGAACTACTTGGTGTGGTGAATTTTTATTAGAACAGCCAAACAAAATTTCTTTTTGGGTGTTATTATGAATCAATTCTCCTTATTCTGATGAAAGTGTGAAGCTACAGCATTTGCAAATCATGAAATGATAGTGACATTGGTATGGATATGGGTTCTGTTTAACACATACTATCCTACGCTTTCCTGCAAGTGTCTTGATTCAGGAAGAGACAAACACCTCCCTAAATCATTTGATGTTCCCATGGGTTCTCTATGAAGTATGTTTCTTTTTATTTTTAAAATGGATATTTCTAAGTTAATGAAATAGGCACATTGGATTATTATGCTACTGTATAAAAGGTCCTTTTAAGCTATGGTTTGGATACAAGAAAACATTCGATCCTTTGACCATCGAGCCATGTTCTTGCATCCAATGATTTGAGGGATAGATAAATCTGACACCTGGAGAAGACTCACACTCAAACCTTTATTACAATCCCTGTAATATTGGAGGACAATAAGCCTGTGAAATTTTATTAATTTCTTATGAATTTCCAGATATCAATATATCCTCTGACTAATGAAGTGATTTAATATTTAAATCCGAAACAGTGATAATGTGTATGATATACCTACTTCTGTGTTATTTTCTGGTGTTCCTAATTCGGGCAAGGACAGATATTATAAATTAGTTTAGTTATGTAATTAGGTTAATAATTCTTATTTTGGTTTTGAGATAGTTGAGTCATACATGTTTACTTCTTTCGTGATAGTTGCATTAATATTTTTTTTGACAATTTGTTATTGGTGATCTAATTATGTTGGCCAGAGTTCCATCGATTCTTTCTTATAACTTTTGTTTTACTAGTTGCAACTCGTTAATATTGATTCATTCCAACATGCTTGAAGCACTTAGAGTTTCTTTTTACATTATTGACTCGTGTAACTCATTAGCCAATTATCATATACGTATGACAGAATTAACATCAAGGAGCTATATGATACCCTTAAATATTACTCCATCCGTCCCACAAAAAGGGTCCACCATTCCATTTTTGGCTGTCCCAAAATAATTGTCCCAATTCAAAATCCAATATACTATTTTTTAATTAGGGCTATAAACGAGCCGAGCCGAGCCGAGCTTTGGGTGTTTCGGCTCGGCTCGTCATAGTAAGAAGATGCTCGAGCTCGATCGAGCTTTGCCAGTCTAGGATCGAGCTCAGCTTGGCTACTCGTTTATTTATACCAATAAAAAAACAAACTGTTATACTCCGTATATTTGTACCCACTGGAATTGATTTCCATATCAAGCTTTGTTTCCATCTCCAGAGCCCACTGATATAGATTTCGATATCAATCGTCAAAGTTTCCATATCAATCTTCAGTGTTGATCTCCAAATCTTACACAGTTAAAAAATACTCCTAATTTTGATTGTGTCAATATGAAGAGAAGAGGAAGGAGGAGAGACAGCACTAACCTGACAGTAGCATTTTGCAGCTGTTGCCGATCTCAGTGGGTTCGTTTTTCCGATTAAAATTGCCTCTGCTGTAGGATGTTTGGGGGAGGGGGTGGTTAAAATACTGATGTGGCTAGGGTTTATAGAAGGGGGAATGGTCTTGGAAATAAGAAATGGGTTTGGGTTAGTTTATTTTCAGTAAGTGAGAGAGCTAAGAGTTTTACACACAAATGGGCTTGGGGCTAGACCCTTGTATTTTTGAAATGGATTAAATGTTATAAATGTTGGGTGGGGCTGCATCGGACTTAACCTTATTTAATGGGTAAAAGTAAAACATTAATTTGGATTAATTAAATATTATGGGCTCATATCTATCTATCTATCTATATATATATATAGTTCGAGCTTTAAATGAGCCTTTAAACGAGCCTGTTCATGGACGCGTTCACAAACAAACGAGCCGAGCAGAATGGTGTTTGAGATTGGCACGTTTATTAAACGAGCCTAAATTTTGTTTGAGCTTGGTTTATTAATCAAACGAACACGAACCGAGCCCTTAGCGAGCTGAGCTCGAGCTGTTTGTCAACCGTTTGTTTCATTTACAGCCCTATTTTTAATATTCATAATTTACCCTTCTTGCCTTGAAGTTATAATAGCATGAGGACCCATCATAGAAGGGTATATTTGAAAATTCATTCCCTACGACTATAATAAAAAAAAAAAAAATTTAAATACTACACTCTTAAAAAGTTAGATTCCCAAAAAGGGACATTTTTTGTGGGACAGAGGGAGTAATACTTTTGCACATTTAGTTTTGTTCTGCAACATTTTTCACTGATACTGGCGTGCCTTTCATGCTGAACTTTTAAAGTGCCATATATGCCACTCTGCATGATTGGTGGTGTCCTGCTTTATGATCCAATTACTAATGGTAACTTATCCAATATGTGTACTGCTAAATAAGTTGGAACTATTGTTGATGTGTTATTTTTGCGGTTAAATATTGGACTCTTATTCTATCACATTCCACCTTTTCTAGTACTGTTTTATCATATAGCCATTTAGATTTGGTATCTTTGCTAATTCAGTTAATAGTGTAGGATAAAATGTATATCTTACGTTGGCAAATAAAATATATCTTTGTTATTGCCCCTCTGAATTTAATTTTGCGAAAGGTTTTGATTATGACTGCATTCTGCGTTAGAACATATCACTGCAACTTGTATATTTTTAGCCAAATGACGGCAACTTATCACTTCAATGTATTATCTGTACTGATTATATCTATGATTATACACTTTGTTGTTCTTTCGTAAGGTTAATACAGAATTGAATAATTATGGTGCATTCTTTTCTTTGTCAGGTGAATGAGGCTTAAGGAGTTTACAGCAAGGAGCATAAGACGCTCCACAGATCTCTGCACATCAATATCGACTGCTTTCCTTATTGGGTTCTATCCTAGAAACGTAATCAGATATATTTTATGATCCAAGCGTTTCTAGTTTTAGATCTGGTACTCTGATTGTGGACATTCAGTAAAAATGGATAGGTCAGACACAGCAGGCTTTGTGAGTGGTGGAGGTAGCTTATTAAGATTTCTCCAACTAGTTCTTTTAGTCCTGATGTATAGGTCTTCAAGGAGCAAGTAATAAACCTTGTTTTGCTATTTGGGCCCCTTCTTCCTCAGTAAAATAGTGTGAACAGCATCTAGAGAATGGATCTGAACAAGAAAAACATGATGTTTTCATGTAGAAGTGAGCTCATGAAAAATAACAACTATGGTGATACGACTTTACGTTTGGATTGCTTTGGTTATGGAGGTAGCAGAAGTGTTGGATTTGGGAGTACCCAGAGTAACCCTGGAGATTGGGTAGTTCCTTCAAATGCTGCTGATGATGGTTGCAGGTTGGTACTTGGCTTGGGTCCAACACCAAGTACATACTCTGATGATTATTACCCTGTTGGGGTAAATAAAAACAAAGGATCAGCCACCACATTGCGCCGAGGGCTGCCATCGGAGGGTGATTCAATCCTAAAACTTGGCCTTTCTGGAGGAATTGAGGAAGTATCAGGTGGGCTTGAATATTCAGTATCATCTCAGGGTGATTTGAGTACACCTCGTCACCCTAACCAAACATCCATTGGTGGTAATAGACTTGTGATTCCTGTTGTGGATGAAGGTTCTACCACAGCCAAGAAATCTGGTGGCTATATGCCATCACTTATTCTAGCTCCTAGAATGGATAGTAGCAAAATTTTGTTTCAAAAGCAAGAACTTTTAGAGTGTGGTGCCAAATCCCATTGCCATCCTTTGTTGAGCTCTGAACCTTCTGCTGTCACAAATTACTCGGTGGAAACTTTCTCTGAGCCTGGAACTTCTGGGACATCGTCTGATTACAGAAGTAGTAATCCTAAGAAATGCAAGTTTATGGGGTGTTCAAAAGGGGCACGCGGGGCAACAGGCCTTTGTATTGGTCATGGAGGCGGACAGAGATGCCAGAAACCAGGTTGTAGCAAAGGTGCTGAGAGCAAAACGGCCTACTGTAAGGCTCATGGAGGAGGGAAGAGGTGCCAGCAACTAGGATGCACTAAAAGTGCCGAGGGGAGAACAGACTACTGCATTGCACATGGTGGTGGGAGACGTTGTGGGCATCCAGCCGGGTGCACTAAGGCAGCACGAGGGAAGTCGGGGCTTTGCATCAAGCATGGTGGGGGTAAGCGGTGTAAGGTCGATGGCTGCACCCGTAGTGCTGAGGGGCAGATTGGCTTGTGTATTTCTCATGGGGGTGGTCGTCGTTGCCAGTTCGAAGGTTGTAACAAGGGTGCTCAAGGGAGCACCATGTTTTGTAAGGCACATGGTGGTGGAAAACGTTGCATATATGCAGGTTGCAGCAAAGGTGCCGAAGGGAGTACACCACTTTGCAAAGCACATGGTGGTGGAAAGCGCTGCCTCTTTAGTGGTGGTGGGATCTGCCCCAAGAGTGTACATGGAGGCACAAATTTTTGTGTTGCCCATGGTGGTGGAAAGAGGTGTGCTGTTTCAGGGTGCACAAAGAGTGCACGTGGCCGTACTGATTGCTGTGTTAGGCATGGAGGAGGTAAGCGTTGCCGGTTTGAAAACTGTGGGAAGAGTGCCCAAGGGAGCACAGACTTCTGCAAGGCTCATGGTGGGGGAAAGCGATGCAACTGGGGAGAGGGAAAGTGCGAGAAATTCGCAAGGGGAAAGAGTGGGCTGTGTGCTGCTCATAGCAACATGGTTCAAGACCGGGAGACAAAAATGGGGGGTATGATTGGCCCCGGACTCTTCCATGGCCTTGTACCTTCATCCTCAGCTGCTGTGAGCCACTCAGGTGGATCTGTTCTCTCAGATTCTATGGATTCACTGGAAATGCCAACCAAAAGACAACAATTCATACCTCCGCAGGTATTGGTTCCTTTATCAATGAAGTCCTCCTCATCTTATTCAAGATCGTTTAATGAGAAGCAAGAGCAAGAAAACATCAGGGGCAGCATTCGTGGTGGTCATGGGGGTGACATTGTGATTCCCGAAGGGAGGGTCCATGGCGGTGGTCTCATGTTATTGTTCGACGGAAACCTGAAGAATGCAATTGATGGCATCTGAAGTTTCATGGTCGCATTGGATTGCCCATTTTTATGTTGTTGATTATTTATTTTTCAACAATGGAATTGTGTATAAATGTTGAATTGTCTGTTCAGTGACTTACAGATTGTACCTGTTTGATACACTTCTTGTTAATAATATTCTGTTGTAAAGGCGCTCTTGCACTTCTCTTTATAATATTTGCCTTCGGAACATGCTTGTATTTGTCAACTGACCAGGCAATTTGAAACTCTCACTTTGAACTAGAGGGTAATTTGTTAACTCAGAATTAGGTGGTTGGTAGAATATACTCTGTGACACCTTTCTGATCATGAAAACTCAACAAGCAAAGCATTCGCAGTGGTATAGCAGAATGTAGCAACAGCGAATCAACTCAGGGTTCTTCATCAACCTAGGTGCTGATGTTGCCTTGTTACCCTATTACCATCTCTATTCCATTAAGAAGTCAAGTTCCTCTAGGATTATGACAATTTTACCCTTGTGACCGGTACTGACCTCGTTCCTTCTCGACAAATTCTAATCACGATGAATAAAAAATTAATTTCTATTGACTATTACTAACCTCGTTCCTTCTTGACATATTCTTCAAATTCGTCTCTATCCCTCATGACTGTTACTGACCTCGTTTCTTCTTGACAGACTTTCAAAATTCATCTAATTTTGAACCCCTCCTACTTAGTTATAAAAATTGTGAGCTGTTTCACCTCATAGGGGAAGAAGATTGGGGAAACAGGCTTTCTCGCCGAAGAGACTCATGATGAGGAAAGCTGCTGAACCCCGAGCACTATAGAAATATCTCCGCGGATGTCCCATGATTTGGCCAATCAGACAGACATGCAAGACAGGATGTAGGCAGTCATCTATGGCAAAAAAACTTGGACCTTGGACATATAATAGTTCCGAATCGAGGCCGTAGCCATGCCCGTTTCTACTTCTACTGGGCTTTTCCAAATCAAATATAGAAAACAAGAGTTTGATTGCTTAGGCGCTCCTCCCTTGCCAAACCAAGAATTCTATTCGATAGAGAAGGGAGCCGGAGGAACCTGGAGAAAAAGAAGTCAACACTGGCAGAAGCGTATTTCTTCTTATCTCTTCTTGTATTGTCGACCAAGTTTGTTCAGTGGTCGTAACGGTAACGTAATTAGTCTTAAAATGAACCACAGAATGGAAATCACTTTCCCGCACTAAGAGCAAATTCTAAAATAGTGCAAGGGGGTAGGTCGCGAAAAGAAAAACGGGGCAACATCAACATGTCTATTTGAGAGGATTGAATGCGATTAGAAGGGGGACCGTAGCCAAGGAATGAGGGGGGTGATCCATACGGGGAAAGATGAGAAAGAGGCTTAAAACGTTTCTCCTCGACAAACTTTTAAAATTCATCTAATTCTGAACCCCTCCTACTTAGTTATAAAAAATGTAAGCCATAATTTCAGAAGTGGACGTATAATATGGGATAGAGAGAGTATATCAATAACACTTTAAAATTAGTGTATTTTTATTTTTGTAATCTTTTAAATTTCCAACTAAAAAGGAATTGATATAGTATATAATTGTTAAATATTTGTTTGCATTTATACAATTTTACAAGAAAATATATTAAATTTGATTAGGATTTTGGAATTTTATTTTAATTTTGTAAACTGTCCGCTACCAAATAATCGAATTAATTTTTTTAACTAGTTATGATGAATCTAAAAAAAATTAATCCAGACAAATTGAATAGGACTACTAGTCGTAGATAATCCTAAGCCACCTAAACAGTCCTTACTATGAACTTTTAGAAATTAGGATTAAGTTTTAAAATGAAGTGAAAGCATAAAATAGTTTGTTATATAGTTAAAGAACTAATTTAAAAAAATAATAATAATTAAATTCTCATTTTAGAAAACTATTTTAGTAGTTTCATAGAGACTATTTCTATTTCTATTTTATTATTATTATTTTTTCGTATTAAAAAGTGCTGAAGATCTTGTGGGGGCCACAAACTGTGGTAGCACCCTGGTAGTGTTATATAACAGAAGTTGCAGGGACTTGACAATGTTAATTATGTTATTCTGATCATTTCGGTTCATTCCCTTTCCGTTCTGTTCTGTTCTGTTCTCTTCAGTTCTCTTCGGCCGAGGACTCGTCGGAGATGTTTCCCTGAGATTCACCGGAAAAGTTTCTACAAATCAAAAGCTTTTCTCTGCGTCGAAGAACATTGAAGCACGATAGCACTCGAAGAGATCAAATCGCTTGCAATTTCTGAGGTACTCTTTCCTCTCGACTCATACATATATCATCATCTCCTTGTAAAGCTCGCTTTCTTGAAAGTACCGATATGTAATTGGATCAAATTCTTAGAAAATTATGTGTCTTTTTTTGTAATCTGTGTTGTTTGAATGTTTGAATTTCTTTTCTTGAATCGAATTCTTGAAATTGATGAAGCTCAAGAATTGTCTTCCAGTGAGCTTTTGAAATCACATTTCAAGATTTGAATCTGATTTTTTACTTCACACTTCGTTTCATTTCTTGGATCATTCTTCTCAATTTCATATACAGGGGAACACACACACACACACATATATGTGTACACTGTGTGTGTATATATATATATATATATATATATATATATATATATATATATATATATTCTCTTTGGTTAATCCGTTTACGTGTCTCTCGACTAGATTGAATGAGGTTGAAATTAGGCGGGAGTTCGAACTTCGAATTGCAAATCAAAACAGAATCGAAAGTGAAAAGTTAAATTCACATGTTTTTCTTTCTTATATCATCGATAGGAATCGAATTTAGAAAGAGATGTAATTTAATTGATAATAATTTAACAGTTTCAGAGAATCTGTGTACGATTGCAGAGAAAAAGCTACATGGAAGGCCTTTACGGCAACAACAGTTCGAAAGCTTCGAAACTCAAGGCGTTAAATGGCAACGTTTCACCAATCAACGTGAAGAGAGACAATCACCGGATCTTCCTAAGCGGAGGAGGACGTCATCATCTTCCGTCGAAGAGTCCAAGCTTCGATTCATACGCGTCTGGTGATGATAGCAATTTGCAGAATTTGGACTCCACACTGATAAGGTACCTGAGATCCGTCTCTCCGGCGGCCTCGGGCTGCGATTCCTCCAAAACTCCGTCCGGCGGTGGCTCCTCCGTGTACCGTCAGATGATTGGGAATGAGTACGTCAGAAGCAACAGTAACACCAGCGGAGGAAGCAGTGGCTTCGGATCGCGAGGCACGTTGTCGCCGTCGCCGCTGTCGTCGGTGGAGAACTTGCAGACGCCAACGTCGAGATCGCCGCCGATGTTCGGTACTCCGTTGAAGGTAGACGAGGACGTCGTGGTGATGGACGGCGTTCTGGTGGCGTCTCTGCCCGGTGCAAAGGTTAGGTCTTCTACGTCGTCAGATTCCGGTGGATCGTCGTCCGGCAGCAATAGCAATTACAAGACGGAGATTTGTCGGCCATGGGTGGATTCTGGTAATTGTCGCTACGGATCCAAATGCCAGGTCTCTCTCTCTCTCAAAGTATTTTGATCCAACGATTAGGATCTTCTTGATTAAACAAATCATTTTGATCAAACGGCTGAGATTTACTCATTGAAAACTGATGTTGCTGTGCTTGAAATTTTCACGCTTAAATATGTGCCCTACTGTTTGATCAAATGACTCAGAGAATTAAGTCGTGTGTGTATATATATATATGCAATACATGTATAAATTACAAGAAGTTTGCTCTTTGATTGAAATCATGTACACACACAGACACAACACAGTTATGTATGCTAAAATGACTCAAAAGTTGATCAAAGAATGACACCAATTTTCAATTCCAAAATTTTCAGTTTGCACATGGAAAAGAAGAGGTGCGTCCCACAAAATCCCTCAGCAAGAACAAATCCGAGGTAAAGAACAATCGTCTGGACTATATCTATCTAATTGTGGGTGTGGGCATTTGCTTGAACTTTCCAAGAAGAAAAAAAAAAAAAAAAAAGCCTACATTGCCATTAAAATTGACAATGCTGTGTTCATCATCCATTTTCGGCTCTGTAGGCTCATCCGTGCAAGTCATATGCTGGTTCAGGATCATGCAACTATGGCTCAAAGTGCCGTTTTGTTCATCATCAGGTTCCGGTGACCGCGTCACCAACAGAACCAGCAGCAGCTAGATCAGTGTCGAAAACCCGAGCAGTCACACCTCCGAAACCAGGACGTGCCAATGGTAGGAGCAGTGTCACTTTGGCAAGCATCAACTGGTCTCCCCAAGACGACGGCATTAAGGTTGCATTGCCTTCTTCTGATTCGGCTGACAAACCTCCGTCAAGGAAAGATGTTGATGCTTATATAAACACTGTTCTTTACCGTCCCAACCGAAGAAAGAGATTGCCAGTTTTTGAAGAAATTTGCCCCTTTTATTCTAAATGAGCCCAGCTCCAGTTCCAATTTTCAACTGGGGGCAAAGGGTAAAATACGTATACTCATATACTGTAGTTTCAGAACCAACCTTCCACTGATTTGCTTCGACTCCATAATGTCCATAATATACATATTGTCCTAGTGCACATTACAGGCTATGGCATAGAACTAGAATTGAGTATATGCCAAATAAATTTGCATAAATTTGTATGCTACTATTCTGATGAAATGATTCTGATAGACAGACAAACATATATTATATGTTTCTACACTGCAGAGTTATCAATTGACAGTGAACAAAGACTTGAATCCATTGTAATCTCTCTCTCTCTCTCTCTCACACACACACACACACACACAACACAGAGTGTTCAGGTGAGTGCGTTTGAGTTCTTGCAGTTACTAGATTCATACTTCTATTTGTGCTATTGACTGTTTGTTTGAAAGCTTGCTCTGTTTGCTGCTTCTAGAACTTTCTCAAGTGTCTTAATAAACTTGTAAATTTACCACAAGATGAACCTGCATACTTTCTTTTAGTTGACTTAACACTGCTGTGAGATAGTTTGGACAAATTACCAATTGCTAGGGACAGACAATTTTGGACTGTTTATTGTGTGGACTGCGCAACAAATGAAGCCACTAATTTGGAGGGAAGAGCAAATTTCTAATTTTGGTTAATGACTATAGATCTAACTTGATTAGTGGTAAAGCCCAGTGTTTTGTAACATGTTTGGATGTCTATGAGTTATGTAGAACGGGCCTTGGTCAGGCCAGCCCACCCAGCCCTCCAAGTGGTGGTCCAACCGACGTTCAAGCCCGATCCACCCTCTTATAGGGTCAAGTTGCACTAGCCCCGTAAAAGGCTTAGGCCGAAACAAAACTTGGCGGGCTAGGGTTTTTTTTTTTGTTGTCTCCAAATTGTTTAGTAATTTGATCTCAAGTTTTTGTGTGCAAAGTGAATGTGTTATTTGTCCACATATTTTGCTTTTCATTTGATCCAGCAAGTTACCTAGTGCGTAATGAATAACGTGAGTGATATTTAGAAATAAAAAAGTTTGATTCATAGTAGTACAAAATGATAAAGGAAAAGGCTGTTATTGGATGATATTATTTTATTTTATTTTTTTCTACTAGAAACTTGCACACTCATTTCTCCTTGAAGATTTGAACTCTCATTATCAGCAGAGAAGTCACTTGGTCAATTTATTGAATGTAAGTATAGTGTTGTCTCCAAATGGTTGAGTTGCTCCCGGTGAATGTAAGTGTCGTATTTTTTTGTGTTCGAGCCTTGGGTTCGTCTTTTTTCCTCTAACAATTAATCCTAATGTTCTTGTCATGAATATATATATATATATATATACATATATATATATATATATATATATATATATATATTGAATGAGTTGGACAAAGCTATTAACTAACTTTTTACTAATATAGTGTGGCACTTTTAAATTTTTTACCAACTTTTTTGTTGTACCAATTTTTGAAATCTTTAATACAGCTTTCCATTTCTTCAAAAATTTACTCTTAATTTCACAATTATCACATAAAGCATATCACAAATTCTTCAAAAATATTAGGTTTTTTAAGTATATTTCTTGTGAAGATAAAAACTTTTTTGTTTGATTATTTTTTATTCTTTGCCATGCTCCAATATTCACATTTTCAAACTATAAGATTTTTTCCATATTGAAGTTTCTACACCCTCATGTACACGATCATTGCCCACTGCCCACTAAGATAAGCCATATCCAAAAGTACACACTCTCATTGAACACTCACAGCCTCATCCAAATGACTCTCACTCTCTCTCTTCCCTTCTCAAACCTCTCTCTCTCCCTCTCCTCCCACCACCGCCTCAGACTCTCCCCATTCCGGGCGGCCCAACAAATCTCCGTCGACTCCCCACCACCCGAGCCGTCCTCACCCCGGCTCACCAAAACCGGAGTCATCGTCATTGGCGCCGGTCTAGCCGGTTTAGCCGCCGCCACCAAGCTCAGCTCCGAGAGCATAAATTTCCTCCTCCTCGAAGCTTCCGACGGCGTCGGCGGCCGAGTTCGGACCGACGCCGTCGATGGCTTCCTTCTGGACCGCGGTTTCCAGATCTTCATCACGGCTTACCCCGAAGCCCAAAAACTCCTCGATTACGAAACCCTAGACCTCCGCAGATTCTACTCCGGCGCGAGGGTTTACTACGATGGAAAATTCCACACCGTAGCCGACCCATTACGCCACTTCTCCGACTCCTTACAAACCCTAACCAACCCAATTGGAACACTGTTGGACAAATTGCTCATCGCGTTGACCCAAATTAGGGTTTTGACCAAATCCGACGATGAAATTCTGTCCGCAGATGAGATTTCGACCATTGACTTGTTGAGGAATATTGGGTTTTCGGATTCAATGGTTGATCGATTCTTTCGACCGTTCTTCGGCGGGATTTTCTTTGACAGAGAGCTCGAGACGACGTCGAGGCTCTTCGATTTCGTCTTCAAGTGTCTTGCTCTCGGCGACAATACTATTCCGGCGAAGGGAATTTCAGCTATCCCTGAGCAATTAGCTGAAAAATTGCCGGAAAAATCGATCCGTTTGAGTTCGAGAGTTGTTTCGATCGATTTGGAGTCGGAGTCAGCGACTGTGAGATTAGAGAACGGTGAGGTTTTAAAGAGTGAGCTTGGAGTCATAGTGGCAGTTGAAGAACCGGAAGCGGTTAAGCTTTTGGCGGGAAAGCTGAAGAGCGAACCGGTTCGGAGGAAAAAACCGGTTCGAAGTACGGTTTGTTTGTACTTCTCGGCGGATCAGGGTCAGCTACCGGTTCAGGACCCGGTATTGTTCCTTAACGGGTCGGGAATAGGAATTGTGAACAATATGTTTTTTGCAACAAATGTGGCTCCTTCTTACGGTCCACCAGGGAAGGCTTTGGTATCGGTTTCACTAATTGGGTTGTTTGATGATGTGTGTGATGAGGATCTAACGGTTCAGGTTGTTCAAGAGCTTTCAGATTGGTTTGAGAGTTCGATGGTGGGGTCGTGGAAGCACTTGAGAACGTACAGGATCGGGTTTGCACAGCCGAATCAAAGCCCGCCCACGGATTTGAAGAAGGACCCGAGAGTCGGGCCGGGTTTGTACTTGTGTGGTGATCACCAAACTAGTGCTACATTTGATGGGGCTTTGGTGTCTGGGAGAAAAGCAGTTGAGGTTCTTTTAAGAAATAGGGTGGTTCAACAAGTTTAATTCCCCCAATTTTTAATATTTGTTGTTATTTGTGCGCTGTGAACCCATTTTGTCCAATACCCTTTATTATATTTGTATATTAATTAATGGATTGTGATTGGCAATAATTTTATTATTTATTTATATATATATATTTTGTATAACAAGAAAAATTATCACAATATTTATTGAGTGGCATTTTCACTAACACGAGTCGGTAACGCCACAGACAGGATGCAATAGTTTTTTTTGTTAGGTGCAAATAATTCTTTCGAGGAGGTGTACGAGTATCAACCAGGGAAAAAAGAAAAAGGATGCAATAGTTGCAATGCACGTATTTTAAAATATGGATAAATTATACTTGTGACCTTCGAGTTTTACTCGATTTGCATACGATTGCTCCTTTTGACATTGACCAATCCATTAAATTTACACAATAGTAGTGAGCTAATTGGGCTCCGCTTGGCTGTTAGGGTACGGTGTTTGAGCTCGACTCTAACTCGAGTTGAGTTCAGGTCACAATGTTTGAGCTCGGCTCTAAGGCGTTCACAACCTACTCGAGCCGATCTGGTTAAAATTTATTTTTTTGTTCCTTAAAAATTTATATATATATATATCCTAGGGCTATATACGCTTGTTTATTAGGTATTGGCCTTGTAGTCTTACGGATAGGCCACTTATGACCCCTTTCTCATTGGCCTATTTATACTGTCATTGGGGCTGGTTTGGCCTTTTTGTTTATGGGCTTGTTGATTAGGTATTGGGCTTGTAGTCCCACGTATGGGCCACTTATGACCCTTTTCTCACGGGCCTAGTTATACTGTCATTAGGGCTGGTTTGGCATTTTTGTTCATGGGCTTGTTAATACTACACACTACATATTTATTATCAATACAAATTGCTTCATCTAAAAAAAAAAAAAAAAAAAGAAGAAGAAGAAATAATAATAATTGTAAACAATCTCGTTGTTGTGTTCGAGGAGAAATACTTTAATACTTCTATTTTATTAATGACATAGTCTACCAACATATTATATATTAACACGTAATAATAAGATTCTAAAATAAAATACTTTTATTTATGTGACAAAATATAATTGGTGAATGACAAGAATTACATAGTATCACCGGTTTAGGGAATTTTTTCTCGTGTTTGAAGACAATTTTTAGCTGTCAACACTGCCTCCTTGTTTCAAATATGTATTATATATTTTCAAACTGGTATTGCCATCTGTCCATTTTTTCCAAACTAGACTGCATGTAGTAACGGTTTTATTAAAGTGGTATCTCGTCAATGAAAAATATTTTATTGCACCTATTTATGGTATCACCAAGACACTAACTAATTAAATGTTGACACAAAGTGATAATATCTACTTAATAAATGTATTTTTTCTTATGTGACCTGATATAATTGGTTGATAATACCCGATTATATGATATCACCGGTGCAAAACAATCTTTCTCGTTGTCTCGAGATTAATAAATGAAAGGTTGATGGTTCGAGTATTCAATGATATACTTAAAATTGTGAGGTTTGCCAATAACCAAAAAAGAAAAAAAAGGACAAAAAAAAAAAAAAAAAGTTTTCAAACTTTCTTCAAATTAGTTGATGTGAAATATTTCCCTAATATTGGGAATAAGCAAGAGAGGGGGGATCTTTTTTTGGAATAGATGAGGGAGAGATAACGACGTTGAACATCGTTAGAGTATAGTGGAATTTTCTTAATTCAAAAGGGTACAATTTTTAAACTTTGGTAATTTTTTATTTTTTATTTTATTTTTTTTTTCTCAAAATGGTGCAGTTTTCAAACTTTCTTTAAATTAGTTGACGTGGTTTAATACCAACAGTAGATATATTTTAAATGTCACGTGTTAATTTATAGCAAATTCAACTTATGATAACTTCAAAAATATTTAATTTAGAGGATCAAGTCCGGCCAGAGGATTATCAACCAACCCACCAAACTAACCCACAAAAAGAAGGACCGAAATCCTCTTCGGCGCAACAGGACATATGTCCTAGCCGGTGAGTAAATTAGAAAAGTAAAAATACATGAGGTAAAAAATTAAAAAGGAAAACTTTTGTATATACACACATATATACGGAACCAAATCAAAACCAGACCAACTTCTTGCTTCTTTTTTTTTTTTTTTTTTTTTTTTTTTTTCTACAATCTCTCTCTACACAAACATTTCCCTAACCTACAACTTCTTGTATATCACAACATTTATAGAACAGATGGTATGCCCGCAACTTCTTGAATGTGCTAGATGCAACATACCATCTGCATCTACAACATACCATATTGTATCCCAACTTTCAGCTTACCAACATCCCACTTATTGTACAAATACATAAACATATCTTGGTACAAATTGTATATCATAACATTTTCCTACCTTACATTCCAACTTTCCCTTTATCAACATCTTAACTTTTTCCTTATCAACATCGCACTATTCATCTCTTTATCTTATTTGGGATGTACATTAGAAAATTGTTGGGATGCTAGTAAAGAGAAAGTTAGGATGTACATTAAAAAAATATTGTGATGCAAGACCAACTTCCAAACATTTTTCTAACATGTATCCCAAACAAGAGAAGGATATTGTTGGGATGCATAGTGAATATTGGTACAAACTGATATATATACATCCATACGTGTTTATGTATATATATATGTGTGTGTGTATGTGTATGTATAAAAGGTTTTGTCATGCTCGGATGAAGTTATCAAATTTCAGAACCGTGGAGATCATCTTCCCACCAATCAATTGCAAAACCATAGTTATCTAGCTATCCAATTTGAGAACCATGCAGATCTTCTTCCCACCAATCAATAGCAAAACCAGAGATATAATACTAATAACAAATGATTCAAACACATATACCCCGAATCAATCAATACCAAACTAGAGATTTTGATAAGATAATGCTAAGAATTGAGGGTTTTGAGAGGAAAGAAAGAAAAAAAAGCATCGTTTGCTGAAATTTGGTATTTTGTATCAAGGACAATATTTGTAGTATGTAGTAACAAATTTTAACCGATCCCCACTTATGCGACGTGGCGCTACTAGGACCATACATCACTCACTAGCTAGGACATATGTCCTGTTGCGCAGGAGAGGATTTTTATCCCAAAAAGAAAGGGTCTTAAAAATCCTCTATAGACATATAAAAATAGAAAAAGACAAACAAATACAATAAAAATAAAAAACCGCCATTTGTGACATTTGTTGCTGGAGTGGAGAGTTAGGAAATGAGAAGAGTGCATTGAATCAACATCACATAACATTCAATTTAATATGAGGAACTTGTAGTCTCTGTGTGGATTGCACACTCCTTCCATTTTACTATTTCATATATCTTCCCACTTTCGTGTGGAATGCTCACTCTCTCCAATTTTATACTAACAAATAATATATCTTTTCTGTTTCTGTGATTTATCTGTAAGTGCACTCCTATTTAGCACTCCATCTCTCTCTGTTCACGTACATGAAAAAAAAAAAGAACTGTTATGCATAGTCACACACACAAACAAAAAGTCCGACAAGTTTTTGGTAGTGCAGTAACGCAAATATAATCATGAGATTGATTCTTCCTGTAGATTTTGGATGTTTAACATGCACTAGACCAATAGTTGTAAATCATGTTGAACAGATGAGATTATCAAATCTTGAATACCTTCAAGCTACGTACTTCTAAGGTACCATTCTAGAGTTGAATAAAGTATGTTGTTTCATATACAATGAAGTTCTCAATTCTTGAAATGTAGTTTATGCGGCATTAATGCTTTGCTCGGTAAGAAGGAAGGAAGAGGGGTAGAGGAGTAGAGGGAAGATAGGATGGATGGAGGAACAAGCTTCTTTCATTCGGTGGAAATAATACAAGGACATAAAGGATAATAGGAAGTATGAGTCATTCTTCATCCTTTACAAATTTTTATCCTTCTAAATATGGAAGGAAAAGTGGTTGGAAAAGAAGAGGGAAGATAAGTGAGGTTATTTAACAAGTTTTAAATTATAATACTATAGATAGTGATGGCTCTAATTGTAAAAATAATTTAAAACTATCTCTTCCCTTCTTTCTTAACGAATACAATAATTTGCGAGTTTATTATCTTCTCTTTCATTCAACTGAATAAAAAAGAGAATTACATAATCTCTTCTCAATCTAAAAATGTCTCATTTAATCATTCTTCTCTCTTTTATATATTTAATCTTTTTCCTTCATATAGATGTGCTCTTGCCAGTTTAGTTGTTGTTGGATTCGTATAGGAAGCTTAGATATGTATTAACATAACTCATTCATTTCAACAATAAAGTAAAAAGTTTAATTATGTAAGTAGAAGTTTCATTGAGGTCATGGTTCGAATTCTGAAATAGCCGTAAAGGTAAGATTGCGTACATTTAATTCTTTCCAGACATCACAATGGTGAGATCTCGTACACTGAGCTAGCCCTTTACGTAAGTAGATGCTTTGCGCGAAAACCCAATTCTATATATCTCAAGCGGTTTTGTATTTGACCACCAAGGCTAGTGTTGTATATCAGAAGTTAAAGATACATAAACCATTGAACAAGAGAGCCTGTTGTAGACATGAAACTCAAAGTCATGGCATGAACTTTATCATATGTCTGCTTAAGAAAACACAAAACAAATTGGATATATACTAGCAGCCAATTACTAATATAGAGATCCCATGTAACATTTAAAGAGCGATGTTGCTAAGAAAGACTAAAGACAATATTTTAAATTTATATCTTTGTATTAATTAAAAGCCACCATTGATCATGGGCTTGTGCCTTCCACACTATTTTCTCCTTTTTCACCACCACCACTTCATAAACTAATCTAGTCCCCCTTCTATATATAGTCTTCATGAGGGGTGTGTGTCTTCCACAAGTAGTACTACTCTATCTATCTATCCTCTCCATTTTCTTCCTTTGTGTAGTACTTAGCCTTTTGCCTTACTGTGTTATACAACTACCTCATGGCTGCACTAAATGATCTCCAAATTTCTATTCTTGACGGTCAAACTGAGCATAAACAATGCCAAGAACCCGATTTTGATTACTCTTAAAGAGCATAGTGGATTCGAGCTGCTGTGTTGGGAGCCAATGATGGTTTGGTCTCAGTTGCATCA